CCCCCCCCCCGTCAATAAAAGTTTGCAGACTCTGGTTTACATGAAAAGTAGGTCAGGTAGGAGTGAGTAAAAAAAATAATTGTAAATTTAAAGCCCAACCCAAGCAGAAAATAATAATTTTAAATAAATTTAAAGCCCAAAAGACCCATGTAGTATACAGTACAATGTGTAACTGTGGTCAGTCACAGCTGAGTTGACAGATGGCTTTGTGTAGTGTCAAGGACACAGAATTCTTCTTTTGATCCTTATAATATTTCTCTAAGAACATCTGTGTGCTATAGCATTAACCCTTACTAAGTCCTTTGTTAAATTTTAAATGCTGTTGATTATATTTTAAGTAAACTGTAGTAGGGAAAATATAAAAATGACCTTTGAAAATGTCACTTTTTATTGACTCATGCAATCATAAAACTTTTTTTTTTTTAAAATGTGTTTTTTTAGTATTACACTTTCTACTTTCATATTGCTAGTCATAATTTTTTTTAGGGTTGTATAAACAAGATGGAGAAGAGCTCTCTCTCATTCAGAAAAAACAAATTTTAGAGAATTTTCTTATGAAGTGTTTCTTTCTTGAAAGTTAAAGGAATTTTTTCCTAAAACCAAGCCTAATGCTAATATTAATATACTCAGCTTATTAACACTAATCACCATGCTTACATGTCCAACTGTCCCACTACACTCAATTTTGCTTGAATTTTGAATTGATAGATCTCTAAATGAAATGTATGTAGGTTCAAAGTTGTACTGTATGTAATATAATATATACCAATAAGGTTGTTCTCCTTAGCTTTACTTGAGCATAATCTTTGTAATGCTTGATGCATTTCATCAGATGTGCGTGCATGTGGTTGACAGACACACCGTGTACCCAGTAAAGAGAAATGTTTTAATGACAGGAATTCATGTTTTTGTTTTGAAATAAATTCATTTTGTTACAATATGGCACGTGAATCAACTCTTTGTTTTTTTTATTGTGTACCGAAATTGTTGTTTTCATTGTGTACATGAAAAGTAGTATTCAAACAGCTATGAAAGATGGCGGGGAATTGTTTTCGCTTAATGATCAAATTCATATTCCATTGAGATATTGTTAGCCCAAATCTATTTATTATTGAGACCAGGTACCAGTACCTTATTTTGGGTAAATCATGAACTTATCTACACAAAATAAGACAGTGATTCCAGAAACTTAGAACATCTTTTCTGAAGTTTTAATGCTGTTTGACAGAAGCTATTAAATTCATTAAAACTAGGATTTTAAAATCATTTCCAGTTGTTTTTTTTTGTAAGTCAGTGATCCTGCTGTAAATCTAAGTCTTATGAAAGATGAAATAGATGGTGGGGGTTCAACACTGGTTGACAAGCCACTCAATAACAATAATAGGATCTATAAAAATAATAACATGATCAAGTTAATTTTTACAAAAATATGGTTTTTACCTTTTTCATTGGTAACAAATCTTGTCAAGCATGAGACCTAAGTCCATGATAAGGGACTTAAATCTTAATTCCATGCTTTCATAAACAAACAGAATGTGAATTAAATATTTATAAACACTACCCAATAGTGTTTAAGAACCAGTTCAAAAGGGTTGCATCAGACCATGTCATGGGTATTGTATTCATCTGGCAAAAAATTGGGTGCGGTTTGTAGGGTGCATTGATATTTTCTAGGCTCATTACACAATTATCAATTATACTAACTGTAACTAACACTGTGATGAATTGAATATTGTTGTTAAGTGGATTTGGGATCGTGATTGTTTGTTTATAAAAGTTGTTGATAGTGAGTTGGTGAGAGGTTTTGTCAGGGCAAGTTGTGATTGGTTGGGTGATGCAAGGTTAGTTCATGGGGTTATGTTGTGATCAGTATGCTGAGCATCATTGTAGTGAGAAAGGTGGGAACTTAAGGTAGTCAATGAGATGAGATGGTCTGAGGATAAGAGTCATGTTAGCGAAGATTTTGTAGAGAACATTTTGTCGATTGACGGTTACAGTGATAATAAAGAATTGTTATACTTTCAATTGAATATTGGTTGTTGATATAAGTGTGGACAAAGTATGGCTGTGTTGAAGGGAAGTTAGACAACGGTGTCAGTAACAAGAACAATGACCATCACATTTGACACACATGGAACGTCCTTAAAAGAAGAGGGTTGTAACATTTTGAATCGTAGAACTTCCAACAGAAATAACAAATATCACATATTATTTTTGCTTATATTTATATAAAGATGGTAAAAATTAAAACTACAAAAAAAACCAACCAAAAACATTTTTTTCCCTTAATTAATTTTGAGCAATTTTATTTTAATGATAAAGAAAATTAACATTAACATAAAATATAAATTTTGACGTGGTTATCATTGTGAGTATATTGAAGCAAATGTTAAAAAACCAGTATGCCCCTGCATTCCTATGACAGGAACAGCAGCAGAAAAACAGTGAATGCTGTTGTTATCTCTCTTTTTATCTTGTTTTGAGTCCAGATTTGTGTTCTCCATCTTCATTACTTTAGGGTTACTCTCTCCTGAGTTTTCATTCTCAATAGAAAAAGTATCTCCTGCACCATCATCAAGGTTGATATTCTGGAGCTTAGCTTTTTGGATATTAAAGTTTCTAGCTAGACATTCAACAGTGGTAATGTCGGTGAATCCATTTTTGACAAGTTCATCACAGCTTCGTTGTACTTGCTCAATGCAAGGAGAAAATGTGCATAATCTCCCTCCTATGAATGAAAGCAATTTTTTTCAAAATGTATAAGATTAAATAAATTAACAATTCTATTAACTGAGCCATTTAATAATTATAATTTTCTTATATAAGATTAAGAAAAGCCCCGACAAGTCTTTCTTTCCAACTGTCTGCCCGGAATTCTCAGCACCATTGGAAAAAACTCATTTTTGCATTACAAGTGCATACATTAAGTAAACGATACTAAACGTCTCCAACGGAAACATGAAATTATTTTTGTCATATGAACAAGTGCAAACATTAAGAAAACGAAAGTTAGCGTATTTTAAGAAAAAAATGGAAGTGCTGGTAAAAAGTGTTGAGGCTGGTAAGATCAATAACCTGAGGGTGCTGAAGACTACTGAGCCAAAGTAGCAGAGTGGTCTGAGCAGTGGGGGAGCTCTCCGTGCTCTCTCATGAATTAAAATTTTTAGTCATCTTATACTTGTATATAAAGATAAAATAAAAGGAGAGAGCTAAGTAAAATTTTAAAATTTTTCATGGCATGCTCAACAAGGTTTTTAAAAATCCAACACCTTCAACACCCTGAACTGGGTTCCAATGTATTTCTTTATGACTATTTTAGCATTAACTTTATATAAAACGAAAAATTCTAGAAATATGCAATAGCTAAATTAATTTTATGCATACAAATCCTTAAAAAAGGGGAAGGGGCAAACCTCCAAGCCACTGCTCTATATCCAAAACACCTTACAACTATCCATAACCTCCAAGCCTCTGCTCTATATCCAAACACCTTACAACTATCCATAACCTCCAAGCCTCTGCTCTATATCCAAACATTTTACAAATATCCCAAACACTTAAAGCCACTGCACTATATCCAAACACCTTACAACTATCCCAAACCTCCAAGCCACTCCTCTATATCCAAACACCTTACAACTATCTTAAATCTCCAAGCCTCTGCTCTATATCCAAACACCTTACAACTATCCATAACCTCAAAGCCTCGGCTCTATATCCAAACACCTTAAACTATCCATAACCTCCAAGCCTCTGCTCTATATCCAAACACCTTACAACTATCTCAAACCTCAAAGCCACTGCTCTATATCCAAACACCTTACAACTATCCCAAACCTCCAAGCCACTCCTCTATATCCAAACACCTTACAACTATCTTAAATCTCCAACCCTCTGCTCTACATCCAAACACCTTACAACTATCCCAAACCTCAAAGCCACTGCTCTATATCCAAACACCTTACAACTATCCCAAACCTCCAAGCCACTCCTCTATATCCAAACACCTTACAACTATCTTAAATCTCCAAGCCTCTGCTCTATATCCAAACACCTTACAACTATCCCAAACCTCCAAGCCACTCCTCTATATCCAAACACCTTACAACTATCCCAAACCACTTCTGTAGAATTTTGTCAAGCAGTGCTTTTCTTTACAATGGCTGTTCCAAAATAAGTGTCTAATTATTAGTATGTATACCTTCTTTCTTAATTGCATCTTTTGCACTCTTTATACACTCCCAGGGTTTAGGCAGATCAAGAAATACAGCATCTACTTCATTGTTAAGTTGAAATCCTTCACCGCAAACATCTCTGTGAGTAACAGTAACGAATTCCTTCAGCTGATGCTGAGTGAACTCCTCCAAAGCCTTCTCACTTCTTTCCTTGTGAAATTCAAATGTTAATAGGCGACCTGTAGGAAGCACTGTGCGTAACATGGCATGTGATAATGAACCACTTCCAGTGCCTTTAAAAAAAAAGAAGAAAAAATATATTCCACATTTGATTATTGAATAATTAATTAAATTTTTTTTCTTTTAATTATAAGAATAACTCATGATAATCACTGGACATTCTGAATTACTGATATACTTCATTACGATTGCCAATGCTTAAAATTTTATATGAAGAGTCTGGCAGACAGAAATTTCTGTAGCCTTACCGTATATAAATTAATTCCTTAACAAAAAAAACAAAAAAATGCTTTTCAAAATACGATAATTTAAATTTAAACCACACAACTGGATTTGTAATTTCGATTCTTTAAAATCAAATAGCCTTGGTTTTCTGCAATTTTTTTCTCTATCATTAGGTACCTTTACAATCTGGTTCATTGTTCAATGAAGACTATAGCAGTACCGTAATAACATCTTATAGATATCATTTGATTCAGAATTGAATTATTTTTAATTTGATACCAATTATCAGATCGCAGTTAATTTTGGTTTTTTTGTCAGGCAAGAAGATTGTGCTTTTTTTTAAATACTAAATTTTAAAAAAAATGTCAACATACAACACAAACAGGTAGAAGCAACAAAAAAAAAATTATTGTGACCCAAGTTAAAATCTTTATTAAATCCATCAAAGGTTTCCATTTTTTCAACACATAACATTTGTATTAATTATGCTACTTTTTAATAATGTTCTCATAAATTTTAAAAATAGTGAAACTCATTATTTTTTCTCATTTATATATTATATTAAAACAAAATTAAACAAAATGAGGCCATTGTTTCATGAGAGAAAACTATTACCATTATATTAAGTTAAAAATAAACAATAATGACAGATTATGAAATACGGCTATTTCTTTTTTCCAGAAAATTCATACAAGTCCTAGATTTTCTCTCTACATCAAATACAGATTTTGCACATCACTTCTTCACTGTAAGTCTGTAAGGAACCATTGCATTTTTAACAGGATGCTAAGTTATAATCATCATATTGCTGCAGCAGAAACATTGTCAACAAACTTTGCCACTGTCTGATTAATTCTATTATTAGGAATCCAAAAAGAATAATGCTATCAGATCATTTTAATTATTCAAGACATGCAGTTTGTTTTCCTCAGATTAAAATAAATAAGAATTTTAGCCCTAACACTAAAATTTCATTTAAATGAAAGAATAAGGCTTTCTGTCACTATTTTTTTCCTCTACTTCTACGAACCATATTGTCCACATTATTTGTATTTATTCAAAATATATCTTTTATTCATTAATTTTGTCACAATCCAATCAACAAGGCACATGGAAATAAGTGAAACAAAGTAGGGGAAAACCTAAAAACAGTAACAGTTCACACAATTGCGGCTAGTAGATTAGTAGTCCTATGAATGTTAAAAATCATTGTTGATCATTTGGAGTATCCAGTTTTAAAAACTAGTTGGCTTTGTTGCCCTAACATTTCAGCTGCAGTGGTTGCACATTTACAAAGCATCTCCAACCTTGTTGATGTAAATTAAAGTTGACAATGGATGAAGGTGAAGTTACTCTTTATCTTGTCTTGTTTTAGTCAGGTTCCATTTGGTAGCTCAGCTCTGAAGGTTGAAATGGCACTGCAATCATGATTGACTTGCCTGGTGTCATACTCTTAGTCAACCCTCTGATACTGTAAATGATAATAAAATACAAGCTTTACATAAAGGTTTACATCTTTTGATTAAATTAATTTGAAAAACTGAAAAATGTAAATAATTTTTAAGCATATCCAGTGTAAACAAAGGAAGTTTCAAACTACTATGCCCTATGAACAAAAATATATACACTTGATATACTTGATAAACATAAATTGAACAAGAAATTAATAAAAGTAAGCTTAAACAATTGTTTTCAAATTATATGTAGTTAACTGTTACTGTAATCTATTTACTATAGTACAGTGAAAAAGTCTTACCTTTGATAGCTAACATTAATTCTGGCATAAATGATAAGAATCATAGTCATTACTGTCTTCTTGATTTTATTTTATTAGTATCTCTTCTTGACTTGAAATAAAAATCAACAACATAGTAGGAATATATATTTTGAGCGTCAGTTGTATAATTTTTATGCGTCTAGCCTTCACTACGTCAGTGAAGTTTGAAAGCATTGTTTAGATGGCAGAAATGACTCATGTCCTGCCCGAACTAAAAACTGACGCTTACAACCTGTGTTTTTAACTTAATAGTCCATGAAATTGTAGATTCACGTTAAAATAACTTTGGAATATAAAAAGGCGGGCATAAAAATAATTTTATATTACATTGATCAGGAGCAGTGGCGCAGCTAGGTTTGATATCACTAACTCATGATGCAGTAAACTCATGGTGTCATCCCCACCCTCCCCCCCCCCCCCCCNNNNCCCCCCCCCCCCCCCCCCCCCGGATTATTTCTTCTTGTTAAAATAAGTCCACAGTAAATAATGAGAAGAACAAAAATTAACTAAAGGTCAGAAGGTAAATGTATTTCAGAACTGTAACAACATTAAGTTTTAGTTCTTAAATCCTTTACATTAACTTTGCTTTTGTCCGTGGGTGACTGGCTGGGTAGCTGGCTGACAGCTAATTGAACGGCTAATTGACTCAGTTCCTGACAACCTATGGAGCTGAAACTTGGGCCATAGACTCGCTTCTGATGACAACACATTCTTTCAAATTTTCAGCCCCACCCCCCAAAAGTCAGTCTTTCTTGCTTTTCAAAGGGAAGACAAAATAAAATTACCGATAACTGCGCTAATTGAGATTCTTTTTTCTTTTAAAATAGCAAGTTCGTTTGATGTATGTTTTCTTTCGTTTTTCTGGTGAAATAAATCTGCGATGTAAAAGCGGGTAGGTCATTAAAATAGTTTGTAGTTGTGAGCCCTGAGTGGGGAGCACTAAATGGGATTCTTATAAAGTGTGTTACTTGTATGCATGTTTTGTCAATTTTCAACCCCAACCGCCATTGCTCAATATTACATTTGGTAAGGATTTATATGAAAAACATTGCATCAAATTGACTTTATTTAAAATTTTCCTTTGCAGGTCAAAGCTGCAAACCTGTCAATCACTTTATAAAAATCAATATACTTCACCGCATCACTTTCAATTGATAGCAGAGCAAGATCTGAAAGCTTTGACTGTCCCATGGTGGATAAGAAATAGTTCTTGATAAGCCTTAGTTTTGAAAAGCTCTGCTCGCATGAAGCCACAGATCGTAAGAAACAATTGAAGGCTTAGTGAGGGCATTGGAAGAGATTCTAGGAAGTCCCATTCAGTTATGAATCTCAAAACATCAAATACTGACCACTCCAGGACTTTGTAAAATTTATATCAGCTGCATTTAGGTGTCCTCTTAGCATTGGTATTTCATTTAAATTTCACCTTTTGATAACTCATCAAAGAAAGAGGTTAATTTTGGAACGGGAACCAATAACTCTTCTTCACTTGCTGATAGTAGACTCTTGGGTTGAACAGCCCCAAGCATATCTCCTAATTCCTTGATTGCTGATGATCTGATCTGGGGTCCAGAATGAAAGTGATTAGTACGCACCACCATCTCCCTACTGTTTTCTTCTTGCAGAGAGAGTCCAGCATCTATAAATTGTTCTCCTGCCATTTTCTTCTTAAACATCTTCACTCTACTGAAATACCATAGTGGTTTGATTTTAAAAGTTCCTTTTCAATAGCATGTTCCACTAAGTGACAGCACTTCTCAAGCAAAAACGATCTTAAGACTTCTAGGTTGGTCACCACTTTATCAAGAGTAAAGACTTTAGTCTGCAGATACTTCTGTGTAAGACTAACTTCCTCAAGTCAATCATCCAAAAGGTAAAGGAAGCAGATAAATGTGAAATCACATACAGCATATAAACTACTGTGTGTTGTATAACGATCATGCTCTAATGTTAAGAGGCAGTGATAAATTGGTGAAAATATTAATTTTTGAGTATTTTTGGGTTTCTATATATTTTATTTCAAAACCTTTTTTTTCCCCAAATTAAAAAAAAAATTTAATTTAAATTAATTACAAAATATATTTGAAAATTTTGTAAAATGTTATTTTGTTAACCCTATAAATGGGTAAAAAGTCTCTTTTTAATGTTTTTAATTTGTACAGATTCGATTCATGTACTTAGAATCCCCCGATCACAGCGTATTTGGTATCAGTGGAAAGCTATGTTTCCCCAGAATTTAGATATAAATAGCTTCCTATCACTTATGAAAGTTACCTAACACTTCAATCAGAGTTGAATCATTTTTGATGCTTCAACCTTGTACTTTGAAGAAAGCATAGAAAGCATGCATTTTGGATTGGTTACACCTTTGTAAAATTTACATGCTTCAGCTTTCCTTTTATGAAATTTTGATAGACCAAGCAGTGTGTGCTCTGTAAATATGCAATTTTTCAATTGATGTCACCTCCTTGGGATGGTGTCACCCGGTGCCATCCGCAACCCCCGCATCCTACTAGCTAGCCACAGATCAGGAGTGATAGGAAAAGTCAATAAAACGCACTTGGAGAGTTAACTAAGACTTAGTCAAAGTCTTATTCAATGAATTATTAAGTTTTCTCTACCATTACTAAGTCAACTTTTTATAAAGTAAAAAATAGGCCTATGTGTACCAAGTATTAGTAGGCCTAATTACTTTCAGCTAAAAAGTAAATTTTCACAAAACAACTCACCCCACCTACCTCAAAATAATCTCAGTTTAATTAAAAAAAATTTCGCAAAAAAACCCCCCCCCCCCCCCCAATAACATACTAGGATTATTTGCGAAATTACAGGGTTCAGATAGAAAAAAAAAATATCAAGTGATTATGATATATAATCTAAAATACTGTGTAGCCTAAGCATACAATTTTTTTTATTGATCTATTTTAAAAAAGAAAATTGAATAAGAGCAAGTATGGTATGATGAAGTACCGGTACTTAATAACTTAGTAAGTACTAGGGACTGTTTGGTTGAGCTTTAGTGAATTAGTGTTTAGTGAGTTTAGCTATAAATTAAATTATGTAATATAATTATCACCCTAATTAACATTTAACAATATTGACTTGAATAAGGTATACTTAGTACTGCCTGATTTGGACAAAACAACATCTCTCAATCATAAACTACATATGACTCAAATCACATTGAACTAATTTAATAACTACCCAAAGTAATTATAATACTTCCTATTAAATTAGACCTAAGCTAGCATCATCAGTAAAGTGCATTTTAGGCGCATATATTCTCTCTTAACCGATTTCATATTATAGCATGCAAACTTGCATGTATTTTTTTATTATTAATTTAACTCCAGGCAGTAATAGTTAACACTAAATTTTACATAGCTAAATTTTATTTTAATTTGATTCATAAAGGGTCTTTGACAACCTGGATGGTACATACCCTGTACTATGTAATCTCTCAATGTTTTCCACCCTATATATGCCAGATTATTTTACCAATAATATGCTAAATGAAATTTTCAAACCAAAGGCATGTTCAGAGAAAAGAATGAAATACTGAGGCGTTCTGAACTTTAATTTGTATTACAAAAATTACGTTTTGGGCAGGGGTCCAAAAATTTGTCTTTCTTAAATGAAATAAATAAATATAATTTCAAACAAAGGCTCCTACATGGGTGAACGGATTTAGACAAACTTGATACACATACACTTGATTATTAATATTTAAATACTGAAGGGTACTTAACTCATAATATCCACTCCTTCAGGGCAGGGGTCCCCAATTTAATTTTACTTTATATAAGCTATATGAATATCAGCAGGCTAAGACAACACTATAGGCTTGATGGACATAAGCCAAGATTTGACTTTGTAGCTGTATAACTATATACTTCATAATTCATATTTAAATAGTAGTGGATTTGAAACACCTCCATTGATATGATATATTTATGAAATAGACCTAAAAATAACTTGTTTTATCTTTGTTAAACATCAATGATTTACTATATTTAATATAAATTTAATAAAAATTTCTCGCTTCATTTTTGTGAACATCAGACCTGTTTACCCTCAAACTCTTAAAATCGTACAATATCATCACAAATACCTTATCTTAGTAAAAAATAAACATACAATATATGTAATGTATACACCTCAAAATCGTAAATTGTACGCCAAATTGTTAGAGTAAACAGGTCTGGAACATGTCTTCAGTTTGAAAATTTTATTTAGTTTTAGCATATCAACTTATATGTAATAAAATCTGGAATATAACAGTGAGTTGAGTGAGTGGGTGGAAAACACAACATTTACATGGAGAGATCATTCATGGGCTAATATGTCAGTGGCTAATATATCAAAGATGCTTAATCAAATAACAATTAACCATGCTCATGTACAATTTAGCGTTAGTTACATGTCTATGTCTAGAGTTAATTTAATTAAGAATGCACAAAAACATATATACATGCTGTTACATGCTTGGACCCTTTTCTTTAGTTCAGATTTCCACAGCCAGGAAGCACAACGTCTTTGTACTAGCAATGGCCCAACCAAAAATGATTGAGCGGACAATGACCTACTTTAAAGTCAATGCACCGCGAAATGAGTATATAAGACTGGCACATCGACCCTAAAAGGGGGATGCCAAATGATGAGCATATCGAGGTGTGACTAGTTTTTCTGTTGCAATTGCTTAGTACTAGATTAGGGCCATTCAAGAGTTAGCATAAATTTAATTGCAGGAACTTAGACTTATAATAGTATTGTGTATCATCTTATTACTGTGAGATTAACATAGTTTAACTTGTTTTATTTCTTTATATGTAGATTTCATGTATCTTTGTTCACATTATAGTCCATGTAATAAAGTACATTTATATAGTGCACTGATTGTCTTTAGGCCTAACTTGAAACCCTAAATCGATCCCTATGCCTCACCTGAACCCTAAATCGATCCCTATGCCTAACCTGAACCCTAAATTGATCCCTAAAATAATTTAGTAAAATATAACAAAGGGAAGTCACTCCCTGGAAAATAAGTTGTGGCAATCGTAACTAGGATTAGCCAACATATGCCTATACTTACTATAGGTACTTTGACACAAAATTTAAATATTGTCAAATTGCCATGAATGATACATCATTTTAAAGGGCCAGCTATAAGCTTTACAACAACACCAATTTCATCTTTCTATCTTTTATAGAAGTGGAGTTATGATTTTTTTGGTGATTTTTAAACACCCCCTTCTTTATCTTAGTATTAAACTGAAAAAACATGTGACCCACTTTCAAAATTTCTGCCTTATTTTAACCAAAACTTTTTGATTTTAAAAGATAATGTTACCAAATTTTCAGGAGACATTCTCAATGCAATATACAGTATAATAAACAACAAAACTTTTATATAACATTAAGACTTTTATTTTTTTATAAATTTATTTGTGGGTATGTTCAGAAAAAAAGTGAACAGAAAAATTGGGAAAATCAATATTTATACAGGAAAAAACAAAACAAAAAACCCACCATATGTCCATATTTATTATTATTCATTGAATTTTAACTAATTTTATTATGCTTGTGTTAATTTTAAATCAATTATTATATTTATTAAAAGGTAAGTAGTCTTTTTTATTTATAAAATTGAAAGCATTTAATTATAGATAAAAATTACTCAAATATCATCCATGATGATAATATGATAATGATGAGACTAATTCATTTAAAAAAATTATTTTATATATTAAATAATTGTCTATGTACTGCTTTTCTATGTCCTAATAAAAATATAATTGCTATGATGATGTTGTTTGAGTCTTGTTTATTAATTTGATGTATTTTAATAAAACTGTTATATTTAAATATATAGAACTTATAGGCTTGTAATAGAATTTGTAAGAAAAATTAAGCTTAGGCCTAAATAGGATTATAATAACAGTTGTTTATAATTATAATTATAACTGATAATGATAAGTAGGCCTAATTTTAGTAATATTCTCTGAAATAATTAATAAGAGAAAAACGATTATTATTATCGATATAACTATGTAAAACTATTAAATATTGATTCAATAATGAATGAGCGGTAAACTGTGTACCGGTACCCTACACAATTTTTAACGTAATAAATAAAACTTAAAAGCAACCCTTGGTTACTACATAAACTTTTCAAGCGTCTTATAATTATTTAGATGTTTAAGGATTTAACATTAACGAATAACAGTGATAGCAGCCATTTCCGGCTTCTCGGTCAAAATAAAAAAAATAATGATAATTTCATACCCCCCACTTATTCGCGGGTTGCATAACTTTTTATCGAGACCTCAACGATAATAACTCAAAAAATGAAAAAACTCTTACAATGAATGTAGATTAGGGAGCACTAAACCTTATTTTGGTGGCTTTACTAGTAAAAAAGTATTTATGCGATTTATATACTAACCGAGTCATCATAATAATACTGCCCGTGATGCAAAAAAAATATCGTAGCATAAATCAATATATGACCGGAACACAAAAACTGATACGTCAGTGATGAGGAAAGCAATTATTTAATAAACAAAGGTGACGTAGTCTGCAATTTTCCGATGATACCGTGTTGCTGTACGCCATATTGCAGAACACGTTTTTTCGACATTTTAGGACATGCGCCGAACGGTGCGTGGACAAGTATTGTTATCCCTACTTACTACATGCCTGAACTGCACTGTTACCGCGTCATCATAGCCATAATACATGATGGGGCCACATGATAATTTTGATTGATAAAATGAATACATTATTATTTAATCATCATTTAATTAGTTAGTGACTGCTTTAATTTTGTGTGATAAGCCTACCTGCTTCGGCAACAACAGATCCTGGTTTTAAATCCAATTGATATATTATCATACTAATATCTGTTGAATATAAAATTTGCGTTCTGTGAGGAAGACATAGAGTCCATAACTCTGGTGTGGGGTGCAATGTACAGATCCATCCTTTCGGGCATTGCACTCGGGTTCCATAAGTCATTCCAACCATTGCATCGTGTTTAACGGCACCAAACTTTGTCTGATGTGTTTCCCCTTTTTTAATGATTAATGGAATCATATTGTTATATCCAATATGCAAGATGACAGTGTCTCCATATTCAATTTTGTCTTTAGTTTCTTTGAAACTCATTGTGTTAACTTTTAAGGTTTAAAAATGCTATATTAGTATACAGTAGGTGTCAATATTCGGATGTTTTATTTCCTCATCTACCAAACAACCGGTATTTTTTTTACACGTGTTGTTAGAGTACATTCCCTTGAGCTGTCATGGACAGAGCTATTAGTACCAACCCGTACAATGATACTGAAACATGAAAAAAATCCATGTTCTCTGTTCGTTTAATTAATAGGCCAAAATCAAAGACTTAAGAAAAGTGGCCTGTGGCATTTATTTAGGGACGCCATTTAAGATAAACATATACTTTATAATAATTTATATACCAGATCTTAATGTTAATTAACATTTTTTGTTGTTTTGGTTGATGTGTAGCTATAATTTTGCTTTTTGTCCTGTTCTATAATTCAAGCTGCAACATACCTCGTTTTGCTATTTCATTTATTTACTAGGCTTGAATGCAGTCATTTAATTTATATGAAATTCAAGGACCGCCCTGACGTCATAAACTTTAGCTACTGTACTCCACGGATGAAAAATATACCAAGAATTCTATTATTCAACTCTGTTTACGATTTACAAATTTTAATAATAGACAAATTTCATTTAGCTGATCTATTTATTTTTTTTAAAGTTAACCATTCGTACTGTTTTTTTGTTTGTTTGTTTTTTTTGTTCTTTTTTAACCTTTAGCATACAAACGGGGGTGGATTGACCAAATCGAGCATCGCCCAATGAACCGAAAGCTTTTTTGGGCCAACGCGACGGCCGCTACACGCTCCGAAAAAATGGTATTGTATAACATTAAACAAAAGCTTTTGAGCAACAGACAACAAAGTTTAGATATTTTTGGTATTATATTTTAAAATATTTAGATACTTTCCCTTCTGTCCAACATAAAATCGTTTTTGATCTCATAATAATATGTCGCACCCTTGTACTAAGAAATGCAGGCAGAGAGGTTAGTTCAACAATTGCACACCACTGCTGTTCAACATGTGGATCGCATACAGCCCTCGAGCTGATTTTAAGAGGTCCGCCACAGCTTGGGAAATTCTTATGATGTGTGTAACTCATAAAACATTTTAGTTTTAGGGTGAACATATTTTCAAAACACATTCGTTGATTCAGTTTTGTTGAGAATTCGCATGAGAACACAAGAGAAGTTGTAACATGGAAAAGAGGGATATCACAGAAGTTAAGGAGTCAGATGGCTTAACAAAAAGCAGTAATGTTAAGCACATCAGGTAAATTCGTAGAACACCATTCTGGAATTTGGGAGACATAAAATCGGATACTACCTTCTCCTTCTTTCCGTTGTTCGTGCAGGGGAATCGGGTAAAATTACTGGCGGCATAGGGAAAGATGAGTAGAGAAACCAAAAGTAACTTGATGTGTTGCTATAATTTGATCGTAAAAATGTCTATGTCCCCATCAATGGGACCAGCTTAGATGGCATAGATAGGTGAACATAGGAAGTTTACTACTGTAATGAAAGTCTTCTGGTCTGGTTAAATTAGTTGTGAGCTGCTGCACTAAATGTGTCACAGTAGGATGACTACGGTGTGCAGTACCATGTAATGCACATTGTTATTTAAACAGATAGGCTAGCCAGATATGCTATGGGAGAGTGTGTATACATCCTATATTGCCTATATTGTTGTGGCGTTGGGGACAAGTATCTAGTATTCAGAGGGTAGAGTATGATTAGAAAGCAATATACAAGAAAGTGCAATTCATTCATGGAAGCATTTTGTGAGACAGTAGGAACGATTCTTTAAAGTATTTAAAAAAAGAAAAAAAAAAAGCAACAACAACATAAGAATACATGGCCAAATAAATTCTGGATGATGCCATGTTTCTTCTTATGAGTTTCCACAACTATGATAATCAAACAAAAGTTTGACCCTATGTCAGAGAAGCTGGAATCTCTCTAATGAACAACCCCCCCCCCCCCCAAACCAACAACAACAACAACACGAAAAAGACATTTAAGCTAGTCTACGAAAAATATGAAATATGATGGGGATATGGATTCAGAATTTTTCATACCAAATGCGACTACAAAACCTTTTTTAGTATTTATTAGAATTGTGCATATTACGCAGCTAAATCATACTGAAAAGTTTAACATTAAATTCACATGGGATGAGGCGACATTTCAGTATTATTTACATGTTAGGCTACACATATTGTGACTTCCCATATCATGTGAACGAAGTTTCTAGAAACTGTCATTTATAAAATTTTGATTCAGATCAACTTTATCTGGAAAAAAATTGGAAGCATTTATGTTGATGAACTAGAATCAGACATTAAAACAAACTTTTCAGAGGCAGAGCTAAAATCATATTAGTATTTACCAAGTAGTCAATGTTAGGTAATTCTGTATATGTCAGGTAGTCTCCTACCCTCGTAATGAGACAACTAAATTTAAATTATTACACGTCTAGTCTCCGGAAAGTGTGGAAAGATTTGTGTCCCAAAGTTTAAAATTTTGTTCAACCAGTTTAATAGCATTGCCTGCTTAATTCCCTTTGATCGTGTGAGTAGGCCATGGTATGGCTAGGTACATCGCCGCAATGTACGTAGTACTAGCCTTACTGGAGAGTCGAATCTTAACAGGAAATAATGATACAATCATAATAAATATGACACCAATCGTACTTCGAAATTGATGATTTGGATATGTTCTTTTCAGATTATTTAGACATACGTTTTAGAAGCAGGAGCTCTTGTCAGTATGAGTTTCCATACTATTGGTAGGCCGAATTATTAAATTAGATATGAAATCATCAGAGGGAAAGACGGAATGCAATATTCAATAAATTATTTAAATAAAGTGTAAGTGTAGGTAAAGTTGGCTATTCAGAATTCATCATTGAAAATGAACTAAGCACACTATCTATGACAGTATTTTAGTATCTAGAGAGTGAGTCAGAGTAGTGGTAGTTAGTTAGGAAAGTTAATTATTTTTAATTTTAGTTAAGTGAAGTATTATTATTTAAATTATTTTTAATTTAAAGCTGTCTCACAGTCAGTGAATACTATAATATATACTATTATTATTATATTATATAGTCTAACTAAACTAAACTCTAATCTTATCACTGTCTTATATAATTATCTATAAATAGCTCTAGTGAACTCTAGTCTAATACAATACTAATATGTCATAATTTAAATTAGCTTTTTGATTTCTTATTAGTACTGACTAGTAATGTGTAATGACAATAATGTGATTGTTATATTATATAAAAATAAATTTATAACTTATGTATGAAGTTAATGTTAAAATAAAGACCTAGCCTCCTAACTTCTAAGTGACCTAAGGCAGGTACTCATAAGAATAAGCCCTTAAATTAACTTCTTTCATGAAACTATATACCAGGCCTATATAATACATATTTTTCAAAGTGTCTACACGTCCGGCGTGCCAGACAAATAGTGCGCTAGATATACGTCCGGCGGCATGTCACGTGACCGCCGGACGGCTAGTAGTTGTTATTATTCTGAATGAAATGCAATTTTGCAGATATTGTGTGATCTTGTGGTAGAGTGGTCACTTGACGCTATTATGATTTGAGCATCAATACCTGGTATAGGATCTTTTTTTTTCCCATTTTAATTGAAAATATTTTATACTATATTTATATTATCATGTTCATCAGCAATAGTAGTTTCATGAAACAATTTAAAATGAAATCTTTTACTTTTATTGGTTGCCTACTCCATACTGGCCCCTAATTTATTTTATGGATTACTGGTACACAAACTCAAATAAAAAACTAAACAAAAATGTTTACCAGCCACTTTCACTTAAGTTTTTTTCTATTATTTGCATTCAAGATACTCAGTACATTACTTGGTAGAGAAATAGATTTTAAAATTAACAATAGTTTTGAATCATTCGCAGTCACGTGACAAGGCTGACCGACAAGATATCTCTCACCACTTTGTTACGGTGGTCATGTGACTTGGTCGCCGGACAAATAGTGATTACTGCTAGTAGTGTTGACACAATCAGTGACTGTAACTGTAACAATCCTTGCCTAAAATTTAAATATTATATGCTTTCTATTTCTAAACTTTTTGCCTTTATTGAGTTATCAGTAAATTAGAAGTCTTGTAAAGAGCAGGGTTGCCAACTCTGTAAATAAAAATTTACAAATATTTTAACTTTAAAATTTTTACAGGACAAACAATTTTTTACAGATACATTTAAAAAGATTTAGAAATAATTTCAGTTGTTTTTTATGTATGTTTGGCTACCCTGTTATAGAGCTTATAGTAGTTTTTTAAAATATAATATATTGTTATGTATCTTTTAATGGTTTTGGAAATTTATTATATTTTAAGATTCGTTCGTTTGTTAAACAATACATAACAAAGGACTGAAAACCAGTATACAAAGAAAAATAATACCTAAGCTAGTGATATTAATATTAACAACATAAATTTAATTATACTATTAAGTTTATATAAATATAAAAAATTAAATATGCACTGTTTCATGCTGTTATGGTTTGGCAGATTTAATCTGTGTTAATATTTGGCTCATAGAAGAAACATTATGTAACAAAGGTCTGAGAAAACAATATGCAAATAAAATGATACCAAAGCTAGTGTTACTAACGATATTTAATTATAAAAATAAATTTCAATACAAAAAAATACTAGGTTAAATATAACAACAGAAATAAAAACTACACTAACTTACAGCACAGCAAGTGAAAAACTATAATAATAGAATATTACTCCACGAACACACATTGAAATATATAAGTCTGGTAAGTCTCATAAAAGTCTTGTATCTAGGAAATCTAACAAATCTCATCGGGCTTGGAAAGCTGCTGGCTTTTTTATAGGGAGGGAGTTAAAACCCTCCAGAAAAGAATTTTAGCAATGGCACCACCCATTTAGAATAAATTTGAATACAAACAACCTTTTCCCAATCAAGGAAGGGGTAGCTAGTTGTAGAGGTGTAATTGTTGACGTCAATATCAAAACAAACAAAATTTTGGAGATAAGTGGTGGACTCTACAGCTTTATATTGAAACAAAATTAGGACAAGACACTGGCTATAAATATATAAATAAATTTAATGC